AAGTGCGTCGCCCCTCGGACGGGGAGCGCCTCAGTGTCCAGAGGGGCTTCTTGAAGCCACGCGGAGTCATCGGCGACGAAAGCGAGCGCGCCGTGCACTACAAGAAATATGTCAACTAGTGACCTTCTGTCAGTGACCCTGGAAGAATTGGTCATAGATCTATGACCATTTGAGACCAATTGATCAAAAGCTGTTCGGGGGGCTCCAAACCCTAAACCATTGCGACCATTTTGGTCAGGAAGGTCGTAATTTCCGTACACGAAATGGTCATAAAGCAAATAGTGCTGGTCCGCTGCCTTATTTCTAGTTGTTAACGACCAATATAGATGGTCATAGCCTTGTAGATTGTGGTGGGTTGTGATGACTAGGCGCCATCTCATCAGTTTTGCCTATGTGTCATGTCCATGTGTCAATTTTTGCCCTAGGTTGTGAAGCAACCTATATTTCTGTTATTCCAAAAATTCCCAAAAAATTCTCATAAATTGTTGGATCATATCTTCATCAAATATGTCAAAAACCTTCCTTGCCTAGTTCAAAAATAACTCAACAATATTCATTTTCCTATTCTGTTCATAGCAGCACTTTTTGAAGGAAGTGTTATTTATATATTCTTGATTTCCCTAAAAATTTGTGAAGACATTCTTCTTAGTATATGATCATCCTCGGCCAAAACTCACGCCCATTGGCCATGTGCATTTCCCGTACCGCTAATCAAACACTTGGCTGCTAATTCATGTTTGAGCATAGTTCAGTCTCCTCATGAGAATCTTATGTTATAATTTTCTTCCTAGCACCTACCTGGGGAGTGACCAACCCACTAGACATGCTTAGGCTGCCCAGAATGCATGGCAACGCCACGGTCACGCGGTGACCACGCGGCGGGCATGCGAGCTTTGCACTCTAGAGTTGGGGCCCTCGGTCATCGTCCAAACCTCGATGTCTCGCCATCAAACCATGTATTTCTGATTAAATAGATACTTATTTACCTAGAAATGATTTTTGGAAAAAATAAAGAGCAAACTATGAGGCACCTGCAGTTCAAATTTGACCCGCTTCCAGCTGAATCAACGGGAATATTTTTATTGAATATTTTATGCCCGTTTCAAAATGCGGTCAAAACGCCGGGCTTGACCGTTCCTAGCTAGTGGTTGAATCTTGGAATCTTTTTGGTGTTTCTGTGATTAAATAGATACTTATACCTAGAAATGATTTTTGGAAAAAATAAATAGCGAACTACGAGGTAGCTACAGTTTAAATTTGACCCGCTTCCAGCTGAATCAACGGGAATTTGTCTTTTTCACCAGAGGTGGATCATATCTTTTGACACCCAACCATTTGGTCAATTGTGCACTAAATATGGCCTAATATTTTATAAAAATGATTTGGTCCAATTTTGCAACAAATATATGGTAGGTCCTTCACAAAAAAACCTCATTTTGGGCACTCGAAAAAAGGGAAAATGAATTTTTCGTCCAAAGAAAATGAAAACTTCCTTAGGCAACATTGTTTGTCATTCCACGATGCACCCTTGTGCACGATATGAGGTCATTTGAACAAACTATGCCATGAATATGGCCATAAGATTGATCATTTGGCTTGAAAGCCATGAATCTTCACACATGATAGCTCATTTCTAAGAACACTTTTTTAAAATAATTGCCGTATTACAAGTTTATTATTTTTCCTGGAAACTTGGTCACATATAATGACACAATGAGAAGGTTTTCCAATTTTTTGTTTTTTGTTGAATATTTTATGCCCGTTTCAAAATGCGGTCTAAACGTCGAGAATGACCGTTCCTAGCTAGTGGTTGTATCTTGGATTTTTTTGGTTTTTCTCTGATTAAATAGATACTTATGTACCTAGAAATGATTTTTGGAAAAAATAAAAAGCAAACTACGAGGTAGCTACAGTTCAAATTTGACCCGCTTCAAGTTGAATCAGCGGGAATTTGTCTTTTTCACAAGAGGTGGATCAAAACTTTTGACACCCAACCATTTGGTAAATTGTGCATTAAATATGGCCTATTATTTTATATAAATGATTTGGTCCAATTTTGCAACAAATATATGGTAGGTCCTTCACAAAAAAAATCTCATTTCGGGCACTCAAAAAATGGAAAATGAAATTTCCGTGCAAAGAAAATGAAAACTCCCTCAGGCAACATTGTTTGGAATTACAAGATGCACCCTTGTGCATAATATGAGATCATTTGAACAAACTATGCCATGAATGTGGCCATAAGATTGATCATTTGGCTTGAAAGCCATTGATCTACCATAACATTTGAGCATTTCTGTGATGGCTGATGTTCGATGATGGTGGTGACGATTTGTTAATGCGAGGGGTGTCGAAGCTCTTGGTGCGGGGTAGTAATGCGTGGCGCCGCAGGCTGCCGGGTGGTGGCCACCGGTCATGCACACGAGGATGGTGACGCAAGGTTGCCGGGGGTTGCAGCAGAAGGTGGTGCTGCAAATAGTCACTGGTGATGCAACATAGCATCACCGCGGACCGCGGGTGCTGTGATCCAACGTTGTAAGGACCGACGAAGTTGCAATGAAGCATTGTCAGGCCGCGAGTGTTGTGATGTAATATCGTCGAGGGTCGCCGGAGTTGCAACGAAGCCTCCCTGAGTTAGTCAATATTGTATAATATTTTTGAAAATGAAGTGGTGCCCTTTTGCAGGAAATATTGGATAGGTTATTTACATGGGTGAGAAAATATGTAAGAGAAAAAAAATAAAAAAACAATTGCATAAGCTTAATCATCATTGCTGGAAACATGTGTGCCATGGATCGGTGACATGGCACAAATCCATCCATCCATCTTTTCATCCCACATCCATCCATCCATCCATCCACCACCCACCCACCCACAGTCGCACACCCACCCGCTGTGTTCCACCCACCCACCCGCTGTGCCCGATGCGGAGAGAGAGAGAGAGAGAGCTCTCCTCCTCCTGTTCCAGATCGCCGCCGCCACCTCCCCTTCCCTCGCG